TATCACAAAACACCTGAGGCTGGGTAGTTTATAACAACAAACAGGTATTGTTTACAGTTCTAGAGGCTGAGAAGTCCTAAATCAAGGCTCTAGCAGGTTTGATGTTTGGTGAGGGCCGTTCCTCATGGATGGCACCTTCTTTGTGTCCCCAGTGGTGGTCCTCAAGCCTCTTTGGTACAAATGTTAATCCCATTTATAAGGGGACCTGCTCCTGACCTAGTCACCTCTTACTACTGCCACATTGGGGGTTAGATTTCAACAGGAATTTTGGAGAGACCCAGACCTTCAGAGTACAGTAGATGCTTTGCCTGTCACCAGGCAGAAATGGAGGCCTTGCCCATGACATTGAGGAGCCTGCAGTCCCTGTCCTCTGTAGAAATGTATCACACAGGATGTGGCGGTATCCTGCCTCGGACCAGAGATGACTTTACTGTCGAGTGGGCGGCAGCTCCGCTTCCCACCAGGGAAGTCCTTCCTCCTGCTGGCTTAGTGTTGAGGAGGGAGGGTTCTAGCTGCCTCCAGGCCGGGCAGAGGGGTGCAGCACTGTCGTTTCCACAGTTGCTCCCTGGTGAGATGGACAGACGCACCGCTGTGTCCTGTGTCCGAATAGGGCAGCGGGGAAGGGTCCAGAAGACCTGCCCTGGCCCACCTCCCGGGAGGCCCTGGCCACACCACTGCCTGTGGGGTCCCGTCGCCCGGCTCCCCTGGGCTCTTCTTGAGTCCTGGAGAAGTTGGCCATTTGGGGACATGGTCTTCAGTGTACTGTTGGCTGCTCAGGTGCCGCAGGTGACTCCGAGGCAGCCTCTGTTCTGCGGCCTGAGCAGCCAGGGTCTGGTATGAGGCTGCAGGTGCGGTGGCCCTGCTGACCTCTGCTGCCTGAGGGGCGCGCTGGTGGCCCCTGGAGGAACAGGGCTGAGGACGTTTGATGTTGGGGTCCCCATTATTGTATCTGAAGGATGAGATACATTTTTTAATATTTTGAAGGATGAAATTTCTGGAGGAAACGTGCCACCATTCCCTTACGGCAGGTGATGCTAATTTCATATCAGGAAATTCAGAAACTTATGAAAGTGAGTTACTGCAGAAACCGTTCTAAGGAGAAAAATCATAATCTGGTGTTTGAGCTGCTAACTGCAACAGTCACCGCCCGTCCGTCGGGTTTGTTTCACTTTCCCAGATCCCATCCTTTCTTCTGTCCCCAGGCTTCTAAATCCCTTCTGTGACGTCAGGGGCAGCCTCAGGGAGGCCACCTACTGAGGGCCTTTACTTTTCCCTCAATTAATATGGCTTGAGCATCCCCAACCCCCAAATCCCAAATGTTCCAGAATCCAGAACTTCCTGAACATTGTGTTGGTGCTGAAAAAGTTTTGACTTTCACAACATTTCAGATTTGGGATTTGGGGATTAGGGATTTTTAACTGGTAAAGTCTGTGCAGATATCCAACCTGAACTACTTCTGCTCCCAAGCATTTCAGAGAAGAGATACACAACCGCCAAGTTTTGCCTCTTACACAATGTTCAAGTTTCTGCGGGACCTCCCTCACAGGCAGATTTCACATATTTCATAAACCGTATTTATGCTACATAAAGGAGAAAATGAGTATGAAAGGGAGCAAACACAAAACCTAGAAAAACTTACTCATCAACTGTTGCATGACTTCATTTGTGTATAATTGTGTGTGTGTGTGTGTGTGTGTAAAGCCGTATGCACCCTGGGGACCGAGGCCAGGGTCTCTTGTGTATTGAGCATGTTCTCTACCACTGAGCCTCAGCCTCACCATTTTTAAAAATTCTTGATTAAATCACAGGTAATGGGATTTAGCAGGCAGAGACAGGATGATCCGTCGCTACCATCTGCAGGGTGCTTTCAATTACAGTGTGTTTCTGGAATGAGAAAAAAATTGTTTTGAAGGCAGTAGGAAGAAAAATTGATACAAGTAACTTTTTGCAAGATAGTGTGGGTCATACCGGCATTGTGACACAGGAAAATCCCTCGTTGGGAGGTATTTGGAATAAATAGTAGCAGGGCACATGCCTGTAATCCTAGCCATTCTGGGAGGGTTAGGAAGGAGGATTGCGAGTTGGAGGCCCGGCTGGGCAGTCTATCAAGGCCCTGTCTCAAGAAAAGAGACAGAAGGAAAGCACTGGGGGGTAGCTAGGGTAAAGTCTCCTGGTTTAATCCTAATTACAAAAAAAAAAAAAAGTCCTATTGTTATCCTGGACAAAGAAAACAATTTATGTACAGAATGACAATATTTCACCAGCCATGCTTCATTAGTTTCGGCCTTAATTTCCCTTTCTGCTGTGTTCAGTACCGATGTTTAACTATCACTCACGGAAATTTTAATATTTGCTTACTGTTTAAAACATTTAAAATAAGCTACTATCAAGAATGAAATGTGCTGGGCCCAGTGGCCCACACCTGAATCCCAGCGGCTTAGGAGGCTGGGGCAGGAGGAGCAAGTTCAAGGCCAGCCTCAGCAATGGTGAGGTGCTAAGCAACTCGGTGAGACCCTGTCTCTAAATAAAATACAAAATAGAGCTGGGGATGTGGCTCAGTGGTCGAGTGCCCCTGAGTTCAATCCCCAGTACCCACCCCCCAAAATTAAATGTAATGTGGTTTCACAGCATCTTCATTCCAGTTTTTGTTTAAATTAGCAAGTCTTGAAACGGGTGCTAAGGGAACAGTGAACACCCTTAGAGGTGATAATAGTTACAAACTTTTCATGTGTTTTCATTTAATAACAGATGTGCTATCTTAAAATTCTTTGTCTATGATATGTATTAGTTCATTTCACCTTAATATATGAAAACAATATAGTGACATATAGTAACAAAAATAGGGTTTGTCTTAAAATTGACCTTCTTTTAAAGCTGCTTCTATGACATTGGAGATCCAGACGTAGTACCGGGTCTAACATGAGAAAGGGTACCGCCGCCCTAGAAAGCAGTTTGGTAGTGTCTGAGAAATAAATTCCATACAACATACATTCAGCCCTTCCACTCCAGGTATTTGTCCCACAGAAATAAAAACAAAATACAAAACCTTATGCCCAGACGTTTACGGCAGCTTTACTCATAACAGTTCAAACCTGGAGCCGACCCAGGTGTCTGTGAGCACGTGAGTGGATGAGGACCTGTCTGGCGGAATTCTGCTCAGCATCGGAACAAAAATAGACCTCAACCACTTGGCTGAATCTCAGAGCAATGACACTTAGTGAGAGAAGCCACATGCCCCTCAAAAGGAGCGCATACTGTATCATTCCATTCGTAGAATATGCAACCTGATTTACAGGGGGGAGGAGGAGAGTGGTTGGCAGGTGTCAGTCTTTACATGTGAAGAACTTTATGTGATTGATTAATAATCATGTTGAATAAGGACCTACATGTGAAAGGCAGAACCACAGACCTTAGAAGGCAGCCTAGGAAAACATCGTCATGGTCTCCAGGAGTGGGAGAATCAGGGCACAAAAGGCACAGAAGGAAACCCTCATAAATTCAGAAGTGTTCAAATTTAAAATTTCTGTTTCTAAAAAGGGGGGAAAGAACCACAGATACTTGTGGCCCATATAATCGACAAAGAATCCGTATCTCTATTGAACTTCGACTCAATTAAAAAAAAAAAAAAAGATGACCCAATGGAAAAGCGAGCAAAAGACATGAACAGGATGTAACCTGTTCTTGTCCAGTAATTAGCCGTCACAGGTGGGGCCATGCTGCAGGGGGCTGAGGCTGCCGAGGGCCACAGGTTCGAGGCTGGCCTCATCAACATAGACCCTGTCTCACGCAGTGATGTGAGGACCGGGGAGGTAGTTCAGGGGCAGAGTGCCAAAAAGGAGGAGGAGGAAGGAGAGGAAGAAGAACCCAAATAATCAATAAATGTGAAATGAGCCTAAGCCTTGTTTATTATTCAAGGAAATATGAGTCATTGTTAGAGTCCATTTCCTGTCCATACCTCTAGTGGATAAAGTCTGGTAGTTTAACTGTCAAAGGTAGGTGGGTACAGAACAAGCGGAACACATACCCGTTCTTAGAGGAGAAATGGGTACGAACATGTTGGAAAACTATCTAGCATTATCTAGTAAAGATGTGTCAACCCAAGGCCCAGAGTGCCATGTGTACCAGTAGAGAATCTCATACATGTGGGTAGCAATATCTTTGTACAGGAATGTTCACAGCAGCACTGTAGTAGGAAAAAAAAAAAAAACTGGAGGCATCCAAATCACAACAGTGTTGGAACGGATACACTGTGGTATGGCTCTACCACAGAATACTAGACAGCACTGAAAAAGAACACGGGAACAGAGCAATGAGGAAGCAAAAGCACAAGTTGTAGGATATGTACAGTGTGGTTCCATTTTTTAAAATTTTGTTTTAATTGTAGTTAGACACAATAACCTTTATTTTTATGTGGTGCCAAGGATCAAACCCAGTGCCTCATGCGTGCTAGCTGAGCACTCTACCATAGAGCCACAACCCCAGCCCCAGTGTGATTCCATTTTTAAGGACACAGATAACCATTGTGCAACTATGAAAAGAAAGCACGGGAATATCCACAAAATTCCAGAAACGGTTAGGGGGGAGGACCGGAATATGATGAGGAAGTAAACAACTCAGGCGCTGGCAACTTCAAAACAGTAGCAATGTTCTTGTTCTATAATTAGACATGTTGGTAGCATATTTATACCTTATATGTATAGCATTCAAACCTACACAGTATTTAATAAGGTCCATTTTATTTAAACTAAGTATAAATTGCAGAATTTAGCATATGAATTTGAGGATCTCGAATCTTAGGTGCCTGCAGGAGAATTATGCTTTTTTTTTTGATGAAAAGATAATGAGTTTTACCCCAGTATTTCTGTTTAATAATTTAAGTTTCATTTCATTAAATGGAAAGTGGCTTCCTTGCAATATATTGTGCGCACTTGGAACATAGCCTTAAAATCTGCATCTTCTCCCCCCCCCTTCTCTGGACCCTGCTGTTCCTCAATTTACAGGAGAGATTTGAAGCACTTTTCACCCTCTACGATGACCAGGTTACCTTTCAGTTATTTAAAAGCTTTAGAAGAGTCAGAATAAATTTCAGCAAACCCGAAGCAGCAGCAAGAGCTCGGATCGAACTCCATGAAACAGACTTCAACGGGAAGAAGCTGAAGCTGTATTTCGCACAGGTACGTCTCAGCGTGGCGGACCTGCTCTCTGAATCTCTCCACCCACGGGAACTCTCACCTCCTCCTCTGCTGTCTCATCAAATCAGAGGTTTTTGAAACAAACCATCCCAGCCAGCAAATAATGTAAACTTCCCTTTGTTTTATAGGTACACGATCTGATTTACCTTCTGAATATACTTATCCTCCTAACCTTTGTGTTGCTGAAATGGTAGGAATTCATTTTTCTGGCAGCTTTGTTCAATGAGGGCTCCGCGAGGGTTAAGCCCTGGGACCCTATGGTTAGTGAATTAATTTTTTCCCTGTGTATCTGGCACTTAGGATGCGAAGTCCTCCTGAGATGTGAGAGAACAGTCTCTCAAATCACTTTTTGAGTTTTGATTCGTCTGAGGAGCCTCTTGGGAAAAAAACTGCCAATCCGAGGGATGGCCAGCAGGGGGCGCAGAACCCTGTGGAAAGGCTGAGCTGGTAGTGATCCCCGGGCAAGGGCTCTCATTCTCTGATCCTGCGTGGGTGTGGCTCTTTAATAAACCAGTTTTTTCTCAAAGGAATCAGTGGAAAAAAAAAGCATTAGATCTCATGAATGAAATATATTGTTTTATCGTCCAAAATAATAATAAGTATCCCCTGCCTCCCGCTCTCTTACTTCTAAATATAAAGCGAAAGAGGTTTGCCATCTTGCATTCCAAATGAACTCCCGAATGAAAGCTGGGTAGACATTTCCCAGTCGTCTTTTGAAAGGGAAGGTGCAATCAAACGGCACAGTTACCTGTCTTCTAACTAGGGGGTCGCATCAGTCGAGATAACTGACCTGTAAAGAGCAGGGGGTGGTTTGGCTCATAGTTGGGAGGTTTTGGTGATCACTGGCCCCTGGCTTTGGGGCCTGTGGTGAGGGCAGCGCCTCGTGGCCAGAGCTCAGGGGGAACAAAGTCACTCACCTCGTGGCCAGAAAGCAGAAGCAGCAGCAAAGGAAGAGGCGGGGGTCCCCTGTCCCCTTCAAGGCACTGGCTGAAGACTGCCATTGGTCCCCACTTCCGCGGCTCCCCGTCTCCCAGTAGCGCCCCCTGAGAGCAGGCCACACCTTAGCTCACCTCACCTTTGGGAAGTGGTTCCTGCTCTGCTTTTCTTTGGTCATTCATTCATTCATTCTCCTCAATGAGCACCCGATGTACGTGGCCCCGCACAATGAGCCCAACGGCGCCCACCCCACCTTCCTGGGGCTGGAAGACGCTCAGGGGAGGTTTCACATTTTCTCTCAGACAGTGTGACAGTACGTGTCATGATGGCAACGAAGAAAAACCGCCCCGTCCACAGAGTGGCTGTGAGTCTCTCCCTTCCTGCAGGTGCAGATGTCCAGCGAGGCCCGGGACAAAGCCTACTTACTGCCACCTCAGCCTGCCAAACAGTTCCTCATCTCCCCTCCCGCGTCGCCCCCTGTGGGGTGGAAACAGAGCGAGGACGCCATGCCCGTGATCAACTACGACCTGCTCTGCGCCGTGTCCAAACTGGGGCCAGGTAACGAACCTTGATTTTTCCCATTTTTGTCCCAAGACACTTTCGTATGGAAGGCCACATTCAGCCTGGTGTGTTCTGGCCACCCAGGGGCACACAATGACAATGGCAGACACCACCACATCAGCCTGGGTTCAGATTCCTGCTGTGTGTTTTCGAGCTCTGAGATCCTGAGCGAGTTCCGAAGTCTCAGTTTTCTGAGCCTTCCTTGCTTTCCTCTATAGAGATGATCCTCATGTTCACTGTGATTTCAGGGATTAATTTACAGTGCATAACACTCAATAGTTCTGATTTATTATGTGTGTGTGTGTTGCCAGGGATTGAACTCAGGGGTGCCTAACCACTGAACCACATCTGTAGCTCTCCCCCCCAAACCACCTTTTTAATTGTATTTAAAGACAGGGTCTCCATAAATTGCTGAGGCTGGCTTTGAACTCATGATCCTCCTGCCCCAACCTCCTGAACCACTGAGATTACAGGGCTGCACCACCAGCCCGGCTTAGTATCTTCACTGTTACAAATTCTAGGACTGGAATTAGCTGCCTTCTCTCACTGGCCCCGTCATGTACCAGATAGATGACAACTACCTTGTATCTCAAGGAATTGGTTGTCGTGTTATATCATCCCTTCCAAATTGTTCTCTGAGCTTTCATTTTGACCTTGCTTCCCTGATTTCTCCCCACCTGTCTTATCCCTTTAAAGTAACACAGACACAGATTTCGTGCTACTTGTCCACCCAGGACAGCGTAACACCTCTTGTAGGGGCTTGATTAGAGGAGAGGCTGGGAATTCTTAAGACACCCACCTTTTTGACTTCTGAGGTCCTAGAATAGATTGCCGGTGCTGCCTGGAGCCTTACCAGCGTCTCTGGGGGACGCTGAAGCCATCATGAAGTGCAGCAGATTCTTGGTATTATTCATGCCACAGTCGGGGGCATCTACATGCTAATTTGCGAGACCTCAGGCCAGGGACACCATTGTGTATAAGAGCCTTACGTCATGGAATCTGTAACACCAAAGCCAGATAAAGTACTCTGACATAGGATTTAATGATTTTTAAAAATTATCAATAATAGAAATGCTAATAGCACAAGATGTTCCAAGGGACCTGTGGTTCTTCCTGCTGGAGGTGACGCCTTGGGGCCCTTCTTGCCTCCACAGGGGAGAAGTATGAACTGCACGCGGGGACCGAGTCCACACCGAGCGTGGTGGTGCACGTCTGTGAGAGCGAAACTGAGGAGGAGGAACCAAAGCTCCCCAAGCAGAGAATCACCCAGACCCGGCGCCCGGAGCCCCCCAGCGCGGCGCAGAAGGAGCCCCAGGCCTTCGACTGTGCGCTGTGAGGCTGGCGCAGCCTCCGCCGCAGCTCTGGCCGTCGCCTCCAGGGGGCGCTGTGGCCCCAGGGCAGGAGGCTGCAAGGGACCCGGGCTGCCCTTCGCTGCGGGTGGGATGGAGGCGCCGCGGTTTCACCGGTTTGAAATGTTGAGTGATACTCCAAATGGCAGGTTAAAGGATTAGCCCCCAAGATGTGACGCTGATGACCGTTTTAAACAGTGACAACTAGGAACATGGCTTCCCCACCCCAGCAAGGTTAGCGCCCCTGATTCCACTGGGCTTGGGTACCACACATGGAGCCGTAGCACCCTGTTTGCAGTCCCATTTTTACAAATTTAAAAATAGTCTTACAGTGTTGATCATCTGGCTGGGTGTTTTTATTTTGGTATAATGGCTTCTAATACATTGATCAAGGGTAATTGTTATTTGGTATACATGACTTTTTTTTTTGCACAAAAAGAAACCTGAAATACAGAATAATTCATAATTATTGATAATGAATAATGAATCTTCTTTTTTCTCTTTTTCCAAGTTTTTTTTTGTTTTTTGGTTAACCTTGGGGAAAGAAATGCCAAATCCACTATGATGATCAGAACCAAGTGGCGCCAGCCAGTGTGTGCGCTCTTCTTACCCTTGGCAGGCTCTTAGTAGAAGCTGGGGGAGTGCTGCATGCAGGTGGCTCTTCCTGGTATGTCCCCCTCACCCCCAGATGGGCTTCTGGGGAAGAACTGGTACATGGGAAGAGGGACACATCACAAGGAAGCTTGACTGGCTGTGGTTGGGGTGGCTGCCGCGTCCTGCCATTGGGAACCCCAGTTCTAGCCTCTGGACGGCCAGGCCGTGTACTCTGCAGTCTGCTACCTTCCCCAGCACTGTCAGCCACTAGTTGTTGAGTTTTTCTGTGCTGTATGTATATTTGTGTATGCCATTAATAGTCTTGAAAGTAGAAAAGGTAACCATGAGATTTTTTTCTGAAGACTCTTTTAAATTTTTCCATTGGGATATTTCCAGCTTGCTGGGGAAGAAAAGTCAGGCATACTATTTTTCTATGAATTAGCAGGCGAGGGGAGAGGTCATACTTTTGTTTTCAATGAAATTTCTTATGTTGGCTTATAGTTATCGTTTTTCCCTAAAACAGGATAGTTTCTCACTTATGTTTCAGAGGTGTATTTGAACCTCCCAAGGTAGAAGTAGTATCTATTTAATGCTCTGTGTTCTATTCAGAATTTGCGGTCCCTCTTAACAGAAAAGGCCTGTAACTGAGCGTGCTCTGCTGTTGGCCAGGTGGCCGCTGGCTCTGTGCTGTTTTGTGTGGCAGATGTCCAGAGCTCCCCGGACAGATATGAGGGAATTGCACCGGAGTTAGAACTGATAAACCACAGTGGTTACGCTGCAAAGAAAGAAAAAACGCAGAAATTCAAACCATAATATCTGTATATTGTTGGTAACATGTTGTTGTACTTTAGTTCTTATTATAGTAAATTTATTTCTGAGGACTTAAACTCTATTACCCAAACAACCCACAAATTGGAGAAAACAAAAGTTTTCTGGGGTTTTTTTGCCCCTCACATGCTGAAATGATAAGCTCTCCTATTTGTATATATTTGCCATTGCTAAGCCTCGATGTAAATTCAGGTGAAATTTACAATTCCAGAAACAAGTAATTTATTGAATTCAGATCATCATTTGTCAGTTCAGCTGACAGCCACTCAATAAATTTATTTTGCTATTTATTTATTTATATATTTATTTATTTGCAGTGGAGCCTCCCTGTGTTGCCCTGGTTGGTCTCAAACTCCTGGGCTCAGTTGATGTTCCGGGACTCTGGCACACACCGTCACCCTGCTCCACTCCACAGTTGTAAGCTCAGGACTCTGCCTCTTTCTGATTGCAGGATGGACCCGACTTACCTGTCAAGAAGTGTAGATTTTTTTTTTTAAAGAGAGAGAGAGAGAATTTTAATATTTTATTTTTTAGTTATCGGCGGACACAACTTCTTTGTTTTGTTTGTATGTGGTGCTGAGGATCGAACCTGGGCCGCACGCATGCCAGGCGAGCGCGCTACCGCTTGAGCCACATCCCCAGCCCCAGGAAATGTAGATATTTTCAACAGTTGAGAAATTTTAAAATTTCCTGTTAGGTAATATTTATTCACTCTAATTTTTGAAATGATTAAAACCCCATAATATTTTGTTATTTGGCTCGGATTTCATTCTCTACCTGCCAATCAAAGAGCATGTAAGATTTTTGTTGTTGTTAACTCAAACAGTACAACTAATCAGTTTATTCTATTTCTCTCTCTCTCTCTCTATTTTTTTGAGAGAAAGTACTGAATAAATTGAAGAAAACTTTATAAACCAAAAGTACGTGCTTTGTACTTTCTATATGTGTTATTTATAGACCATGGATTTATTTTCAAAAGGCAGATCTCAGACATAATTAAGCCATGGAAAATGCACTCAGTTTGTGGTGGGCCAGGTCCTTCGTCCAGAGTCAAGGACCTCAGACCTGTTGGAGAGGTGACCGCTGCCGTCTTTCCTTTTCCTGTCCCTCCTCTTCCTGTCCCTGTGCTTTTTTTTTTTTTTTTTTTTTTTTTTTTTCACATTTACATTTTCATCTTTCTGCATTCAAGGAAATAAACAACTTAAAATCATTTTTTTTGACTGTGTAAAGGAACAGATGAGCGGGGCGGGGGGGGGGGGGAGGAGTAGCTTCTAACTGGGGAAGTTCATATAATAGAAACTCATTTGTTTAAAAGTATAAACTGAAAGGACCAGCTGTGTGACCCTGGCCAACCATCTGATAAATACCCACTTGCTTCACAGCTCCCCAACGTCATCATCAGAGTGACACTGTTTTCCTTCATCACAAATGTGGGGCCGGGTGTTCCCAACTTGAAGGTGTCATAATTCCCAAATGCGCCAGCCACGCGGCAGCTGAAGCAAGAATAACTGCCGCGTTCATTGGCCAAGAACATGGTGAACGTCGTCCAGCCCGGGTTAAGAACCATCCTGGGGCTAAGTCCAAGCACCCCTACCCACTAAAATAAAAGCTCATAGACTTTTCACTAAATCAGATGCAGGGTCTGTGCTGTAAGCCCCCATTTCCTTTGGAAATAGTCACATTCATCCAACTCTTGCAACTCGGCATGGCCTTGACTGAGGTTTGTTCTTGTGGTACAGAAGGTTCATGGTGATCTATGCAGATAACATGTGCTTTTCCACTTCATCTCCTGTTTAGTCCCCAATCATCCAAGCTCAGATCCGGATCTGGAGAGAGGGCCAATGCCGGTGCCATTGTTGGGCCCTGTGCTCCCTGTGCTCCTCGACCCGGAGTGAGTGTGAATATCTGTCCCCACTGTCATGCACACCAACCCAAGAGAACTTTCCCCACCATCTCACTTCCTCTTAATCGAGCCCAGGAGTTGGATTTACTGTTGTGTCTGAACACATTTGTGACCTCGCGTTCCGTTCTGGGGTACTGTGAGCTGTACTTCCAAAAACTGTAATCTGTGTACACGTGTCCCACCTGTCCGTGCGCTTGGAGAGACAGCAGGGTTTGTACTTGCTTGGCCATTGTCAGCTTTAACTCTCCTGTGGTTTGAGGACCTCTGAATTTTCCTTGTCCTGTCGAGGGGACACAAAAGCAGAATGTAATTTGGGGGGGGGGAAGCTTCATGATGATTTGTGACAAGTTTTGTTTTTAAAAGTAATAAAAATAAAGTCGCTTTTATTTAATCAGCCCACTGAATCGAGTTCTTTGTACAATTTTCAACATGCATCAGTTACATTTAGGCATTAACATAAAAAATACAGGAAAGTGAAATATTATGTTTGTTCCTGTAACAGGAGTCCTGTTGAACATGAATGCTGTTCTGTGCCAGAGTTCAAGGGTGAGTCACTGCAGAGCAGAATAAAGACTGTAGTGTAGTTCTGCACCAAGAAAAGTTCTGGCCCTGGTTTCCACCTCCCTGAAATATGATTTATTCTTGATAAGGCTTATGTTCTGTCTTGACTTTAAAAAAAATAAATCTCCAAATCAAAATATGGAAACTCGAAAGACTGAGGAGGTTCTCTAGTAAAAGGGTTTGTTAATACTTACTTTTAAGCCATAAAACTCTGCTCTTTGTTCAAAAGAAATCTTACATGACACCCAATGTAAAAAATGGATTATGAAAAAGAACAGGTAAGCAGAGAGGCTACATTTGAAGGAGGCAGAGAAGGAGTGGGGTGCCCCCGCCACAAGAGCGCTGTGGAACCGGCGCTCCTTCACCTCCTTCAGTCACCTGAGCTTGTCCCCACCCACCCACACCTGCACAGGAGGCGGAGCCCAGCTCACACACCTGGGCCAGAGTGACCTGGGAAGGATCAGAAGCCATTATCCCAGGTTCTTCTGACCACACTCTACTGTTAAACTGAAGTCTTTAATTTTTCCAGAGAAAATATATTAGAAGTCAAAGCTAGATATTGTTTTGTTGTTAAAACTAAAGCAGGGCCGCCGAAGCCCTTTCCACTTTTGCAGATGCTTCTCCAAACTCTTCTGCGGGGCTGTCTCCAGGTGGAGCTGAGCTGCCAGGCTCCTGGGGCCTCCAGCAGCTTCCTCCAACTCATCTAGGGTTTGTAGAACACGGTGATCCCAGCATCAGGTTTAGTTCGTTGGCTCCTTGAAAACCACTGTAAACATCCTAAGGGGGGAAAAGACAATTAAAAAATACAAAATAGAAAATACAAACATATAAGTAATTTCCCTTGAAGCCTGTCGTAAAAGTAGAATTCAACAATATAAATATAGAGTCCTATTATCACCAAGAAATGTTAAAATAGATGGCAGGAGGAACTCTCCCTGCCCCCCAGGCACACACGGAAACATGGCTGAAAAATAAGTACAGAAAAGACTAAAATTTTTATGTAGGAAAGATCTCAAATCTTGCCAAGCTTATTTTCAAGACAGAAAATAAGGCTTATCGAGAATAAATCATGTTTCAGAGTATAAATGGAAGGGACCCATGGGTTAGATATTTAAATGGGTGGTTCAGAGCGTGGGATTTAGGAATAGATTGTGATCCAAAATATTGGGAAGAACTGAAGTTTCTGGATGGCAGTAATTCTAGGAAATTTTAAATGTGCCCTTTTACATAGTCTCCTGGTAGCCGTGCAGTGGTGTATGGTTTAAGGACGGGGGTCAGTCCTCAGAAATGCGTCATTAGAAAATGTTGGCGGGTGAACATCATAAAGCATACCTAACACCAACTAAGATAGCTTCAACGTCACTAGGTGGTATGATCCTAGGATGGTGGGGCCATCCTGTACGTGCCATTGTCATTGACTGAAGCTCAGTGAGGCAGCCCCCAGTTCACTATGTTGCTCAGATGTGAGGAACTGGACCCCCTTTGTCTCGTTGCCTGGGTTCTTGAACATTTGGAGGAACATTCTAAAATCTTGACTGGGGGTCTGGTTAAAGGATAGATTTGTGAAATAAAATTATTTTACTAACTGTAAGAGTGGTGTTGCATTAGGGCATCAGAAAGAGCCCTCTGGGTTTCATGGGTGGGAAAATCAAGTTTATCCAGCTATTAGAATCTATAAGAAATTTCACCAAAGTGTCTTGACCTAAGAATAACTTAGAAAAAACAGGAACATTTCCTTACACTATGGATGACCAAAGAATAACCAATAAGATACTATTCACAACTGCAACAAAACATCCCCAGAGACAAACTGAAACTCTAAAAGGGATCTAGATAATTTTAGTACATGCAGGTTTCATGCTCTCAAGTGGTTAAACTTTTTATAAATTTCAATTTTTCTCCAAATTAATATAAATTTAATAAAAGCTACCAAAATTCCAATTATATTTTCTATAATAAACCCATTAAATTTATTCTAAAGTTTTTATGGAAGGGACTAGGGATATAGCTCAGTTGGTAGAGTGCTTGCCTCACATGCACAAGGCCCTGGGCTCAATCCTCAGCACCACAAAAAAGTAAACAAATAAAATAAAAATAAATTTATGGAAGAATAAAGAAATACAAGTAGGTAAGATAACTTTTATTTTGGTATTGGGATTTGACCAAGGGTGTTTAACCACAGAGCCATATCTCCAGCCCTTTTTCTTTTTTCTTTTGAGACACGGTCTCACTAAGTTGTTGAGAATGGCCTCAAACTTGTGATCCTCCTGCCCTAGCTTTCCAAGCCACTGGGTGCCATATTAAGACAACTTGAAAAAGAGAAGATGACATGCCCTACCAAATATTATGACAACCTATAGAGTGAGGTGAGGCTGGTGCAAGAACAGACCAACTACCGAAAAGTAATAGAAACTAACTCCTGTCTATGTGAGAATTTATTATACAATAAAGTGCCACCATAAACAGACGGAGAAAGGTTAACATCCAGTGGTGCTGGGAAAGCTGGTTTCGTATATGGAGGTGAATAAACATTGGTCTCCCATCAAATGCCCTGTAGAAGATGGACTCCAGATAGTTAGCATAATAAGTCTCAAGTTTTCAAAGCTGTAAATATGACAATGCCTTAAAATAGGTTGGAAATCATAATCTAGACTTTAAATGTCCTTTATCTATTCTTCGTTTATTTTTCCAAATGCTCTGATCATTTCCTATTTTCTCAAAGAAGAGAACTCAAAGCATTTTTTATTTCAAAGTATCCGTAAGTGGTATGTTTGTTGCTCATTTTAAATATTTTGTTGGCATCCTATATGTAGGACAATGGGACACAGTGGGTTAAAGACACAAGTACAGAATGTATGACTACAAAATTAAAGGGATATATGTCATGTGACCCAGGAGCAGGGGGAGTCCTCATAAAATTTTCAAAGCATAAAGCAAAAAAAAAAATTAATGATTTGTGCCAGACACAGTGGTACCCGCCTGCAATCCCAGCAACTTGGCAGGCTGAGGCAGGAAGATCACGAGTTCCAAACCAGCCTCAGCAAAAGCGAGGCACTAAGCAACTCAGTGAGACCCTGTCTCTAAATAAAATACAAAATAGGGCTGGGGGTGTGACTCAGTGGTTGAGTGCCCCTGAGTTCAATCCCCAGTACCCCCAAAAAAGAACAGGCATAACACAGCACACAGATGGATCTTGAAAACAGCCGAGTGACACAAGAGTAAGTGAGGTGCATGGGTCACTTCCATTATGTAAAGCAAAACACAACCTTCTCAACTAACCAGATAAACAGTCAACAGACACCCCTGAAGGAGGCACGTCGCCCAGACCTGTGATGGTAACAAGCTGGAGACTGAGAGGTCCGACGGCCCCAACCTTTCAGAGCCTTTCCATAGACTTTAGGAATCTGTCATTACTCTATTTCCTTCCTACCTTGATTCTGCATTCCTAGTTAACAATAGCATGTCATTTTCTGTATTATTGCTCTAGAAGAAAATATCTTGTTGGATTATGATTGGGTCAAACCCAGATTTTTATTGGTGATATTTTTGCCTTTTCTTTTAGGATAAATCTTTCTGATAAATACCAGGTACAACCTGTTTTGTGGCTAAATGTGTTTATACAAATATTTTTTTCCAAGTAAAGTTACATTCATCTTTTATTGAATTTACTCCTGCACGGGTAGGAAAATTCATAAATAAATGGTGCCATTCACTCTTGTCTGGGCACAGTATGTGGTTTGAATCTAGGTTCACCATCTCTTTTGGGTTCAAAGAAGTAATCACGTTAATTGTTGGCCCTGTGCTGTCTTTCTTGTGTCTTGAATATGGAAAAGTATACAGTCTTCTGGGCTGGGAGATTTGGCCAGGTCCCCTCCCACCAAGGGAGGAAATTAGACCAAAAATAACTTCTCAGAGATTGCCTGGCTGAGCCCTAAGATTAAATGACTTTAATGGTTCAAATTTCCTCATCTTCTATTACTTATTTCCTTGATAACTTGAGTCATTTCCCAGGCTACTTATTCTATCTTATTAGAAATGGAAGTTTTAGGATGGAGATTTGTCTCCTTGGAAGTGAGAAGCAGCCATTGGGCAGCAGAGAATTTTCTAGAGGCCTGCTAGTTTCATTTTTGTTTTTCCCTTAGGGACTGAACCCAGTGATACTTTCCCACCGAGCCACATCCCAGCCCTTTCTTTTTATTGTATTTTATTTATTTGATACTAGAAATTGAACCCAGGGGGTGCTTAACCACTGAGCCACGTCCCCAGCCCTTTTTATTTAGAGACAGGGTCTCGCTAAGTTACTTAGAGCCTTGTTAAGTTGCTGAGGCTGCTTTGAACTTGCAAGTCTCCTGCCTCAGCCTCCTGAGCAGCGGGGATTACAGATGTGCACCACCATGCCTGGATTTATTTTTTATTTTGAGACAGGGTCTCACTAAGCTGCTTAGGATCTACTAAATTGCTGAGACTAACCTCGAATTTGTGATCTTCCTGCCTCAACCTCCTGAGTGGCTGGAATGACTAGTCTAGCTTATCAACATATTTTTATCTTTCATTGTTGAGAGGCACAGCCCAAGGGGCCCCAGCAAACTTCCAGCTGATTGGCTCACCGTGGCCCCAGCAAACTTCCAGTTTGCCAGCTGATTGGCTCCTCTGCAGTGATGCTCATTGGGCTGTTTCCTTGCCTTTTCAGACCATGGAGCTGCTCATTGGGGGACTCTTTTAGCTCTGCCCATGCGACCCAGCCAATCGGCCTCAAGAGCGGGAGGAGTGGGGGGTTGAGAGGCTCCCTGGAAGCCGGTGGTGGCAGTTGGGCTCTCAGGGAATTCCTGAAGA